CGGCCCCTGCAGGGCCAGCGCTATCCGAGCGCCGGCCCTGCTATGTGCCACCCTGGGCCGGTGGGGAGATCAAAGATCTCCCTCACCGGCCCAGAGACAGGGAGATGCGGCCGCCGGCTGGGTGAGGGAGGGAGGAGAGAGGACCTGGCGGAGCTCTAACAAGCAGCTCCGCCGGGTCCTCTCGCGGGATTCTGAGCGTTGCCGCGGTTACCGCGGCAACGCTCAGATCTCGCGAGAGTGAACTCTAACCCGCAGGTTAGAGTTCACTCTCACCACTGGACCACCAGGGAAGGCAGCATGGTCCCCCTCCTCCATGGATACCCGGCTCCCCACACCCACGCAGAACGGATCTCCCCCCCTCCCAGGCTAAAGGTAAGAAGTGGGGGGACATAACTTTTTTTTAAAATTATTAATTATAATAATATTATAATTATTAATAAAATAAAAAATATATATTTAAAATAATTTCCCTAACAGCCCCCCCAGACACACACAGCCCCCCAGACACACACAGCACCCCAGAGACACACATAGCCCCCCACAGACATACACAGCCCCCCACAGACACACACAGCGCACCCCCAGATGCACACAACACCCTCAGACAGACAGCACCCTCACTCCCACACATATACAGCACATATATTATATAAAAAAAACCCTCAGTGAGTTAACAGACAAATAAAATTAGAAACCCAGAATGTGACGGCAGATAAAAACACCCTCACACACAGCACCCATCTTACATACACACACTGCGCCCTCACACATACAATACGTCCAAATATATTTTATATATATATATATATATATATATATATATATACAAAAATCAAAACTGAGGATGCACTCACAGGACTTGGTTAAAGTGAAAAAAGGGACTTTTAATTATTCCATGTGAAATGTACAGAAAAATAAATTTTCCATTCACATGGAATAATTAAAAGTCCCTTTTTTCACTTTAACCAAGTCCTGTGAGTGCATCCTCAGTTTTGATTTTTGTATATTTCTGACGTTTGGGATATAGCACCCAGGCTATTAGTTCTTTCTTATGACTTAAAGGAGAGTGCCAAGCATCCTGTTTTTTTGATATATATATATATATATATATATATATACACACACACACACACACACTACAGCACCCCTCACACTGCACCACTACACACATTACGCTCCAGATACACGCTAGATCCCTTACCCTATATGCATTCTTAATCCTCTACACACACACACACACACACACACAATCTTCTATACACACTCTGGGTCCTTTACACACTAGATCTCTTACACACACACTGCACCACCTACACACACACTACATTCCTTGTAAACAAACACATACAACATTCTCTAAACACACCCTCTCTACACACAGTAGTGTGTGTGTATAAGTGACACACACTACGTCACCTATACACACACTACTGCCCGTATGCACACACTCGCTACATCCCCTATAAAACTATGCCCCTATACACGCACTCTCTACAGCCCCTAGCCACACATATTACACCACAAAATTGACCTATTTACACAATACCACACCACACTCTACACACAGGCAATCCCACAAGCATGCGCCAAACACATGCACCATACACTTTCCTGGCCTTTTTGTCCTCTGGTATCCCACTTGTGGAGACACCAGAGACAATTTAAAAGCAAACACAGCGCAAGCATGTTATTACATTTGCTTGCGCTGCGCAGAACAAATACAGGGCCTTTTTCTAATGCTAGAGCTCTTCAGCGGGGCTCTGTGCATTGAACCAACATGCTCACTTTCTCTGGTCCCGCCCCCCTTTTGGGGGGCTGCTCTAATTGAAAAATGCCCGGGCCTAATTTTTTTCCCAGTCCGGCCCTGCCAGTCGATATGTTGTAGAGCTGCCCTAATCTTATTGAAATTGGCTTTTTTTAAATTATATGTTTTAGTATACCCCACCTGCTTTTGCTTTTTTGAGTTTATTTCAAAATTTACCATGTTGTGATCACTATTCCCCAAATGCTCCCCTACTTGAATGTTGGTTAAAAGATCAACATTGTTTGTTATGACAAGATCCAGACAAGCATCCTTTCTAGTTGGTGCTTGTACCAGTTGTGACATAAAGGTGTCATTTAACACATTCAAAATCCTGATTCCCCTTGCTGAAGTACTAGTCCCTCTTTCCCAATTTATGTCTGGATAATTAAAATCTCCAATAATTAACCTGTTACCTCGATTTGCAGCTTTCTCAATTTGCTCTAACAGCTGTTCTTCCTCATTAATAATTACATTAGGTGGTTTATAACATACCCCAACCAATAATTGATTTCCCTTTGTTTGCCCTAAGCAGATATCTACCCATAAAGCCTCCACATTTTCCTTGTCACACTCCACATGCCTAAGATTTGACTTTAACTCATGGTTGACATATAAACATACCCCACCACCCTTCTTGTTTTTCCTATCCTTCCTAAATAACGTGTACCCATTTAAATTAACTGCCCAGTCATGTGTCTCATCCCACCATATTTTTGTTATGCCTATTATATCATATTGCTTATTGTATGCTATTGCCTCTAGTTCCCCCATTTTGTTATATAGGCTCCTTGCATTAGTAAGCATACATTTAATATTATCATGAGTCTTTTGTACTTTTTGTGAATTATCAATATTACATACCTCCTCTGTTCTGAGTTTTCCCCTCCCCCCATATCCACCCCCTTTGTTCTGAGCTAACGCCCATCTTCTTTCCATCCTATCTCCATTTTCTAGATTGCTTTGACCCTCCCCCCCTACCACTAGTTTAAAATCTCCTCCAACCTTCTAGCCATCCTATCCCCCAGCACAGCAGACCCTCTTCCCTTTAGGTGCAATCCATCATGACTATACAGGTTGTACCCAAGCGCAAAATCGGCCCAGTGCTCTAAAAACCCAAAACCCTCTTTCCTGCACCAAGACTTTAGCCAGGCATTGACCTCTCTAATCTCCTGCTGCCTTTCTGCTGTAGCGCGCGGCACAGGTAATATTTCTGAAAAAATTACCTTGCAGGTCCTTTTCTTAAGCTTACTTCCTAGTTCCCTGAACTCATTCTTTAGGACCTTCCATTTTCCTCTGACTTTGTCATTGGTACCAATATGGACCATGACAGCTGGGTCATCTCCAGCCCCTCCCAATAATCCCTCCACTCTGTCGGCAACATGCCGGACCCGAGCACCCGGGAGACAGCAAACTGTCCGGTTGAGTCGATCAGAGTGGCAGATTACCCTATCTACTCTCTTAATAATAGAGTCCCCTACCACCACAACCTGTCTAGCCTTCCTTACCCTCTAACCCCACCCGTACTAGAGGGGCTGTTTCCACGGCTGTTAGCAGGAACAGCTTCCTGCAGTACAGCTACTCCTGAGCTGATGCTCCCAACATCTTCACTCAAACGGGCAAATCTGTTAGGCTGCATGAGATCAGGACTAGCTAAACCTTTTCTCTTCCCTCCCCCCCTGCTTCCTCGCCCCACTGTCACCCAGCTACGTGCCTGTTCCCCATCTGTCTTATCTCCTCTCTCTCCACTACCTGTCCCCACTAAACTCTGCTCAGTGAGCAGCAGACTCCTCTCAAGATTGTCAATCTCCCTCAGTGTTACAATTTGCCTCTCCAGATCTCTAATC